ACCCACCATGGGGTGGCACGGCGGGTGGGGGTGGGGTCAGTGTTCCCTTCCCTGCGCATGCAGTTTGTGAGGACAGTTTAAGGGTGATGAACAAGGAGACCAGGACAGGCTCTCTAGGAAGTAGGGACCGATGTCCCAAGCTTCTGAGCGTGTGCTGTCCGTTGTCCACAAAAGACCCTTTGACCCACTTCTATCCTTACACCATTTCTCTGCCCACTGACCAAGGAAATCAAGCACACCAATTGGCCAGAGTCCATGTTGAACCATTTTTATTATATGTTTAGTGTTTCTATACAAAAGAAATCAGTTGTGGTGTTTTTTTTTTTTTTACAGTGATTCAAAAAAAAGTTTTTTCCCCCCCGCATAATTTGGCCTTTTCCTTGCTCATGCAGTCAGTTTTAAAGTCCTTGTCTTAGACGGTCCTCCACGGCCGGAGGCCCCAGCTGCATTAGGCCATGCGAGACGCCGCACATGTAGGCATCCGTCGCTGACAGTCGGTTAATGCAAGACTAACTCACACTGAAGGGGCGAGGACATGATGTGAGAGGTTAAAACAAGGTCTGCTGAGGAAAGTTAATGATTTAACTGAAGACAGAAAGCAGACCAGTGAGGCAGGGGATGGGGGCACCTTTCCCCACTGCTGAAAAGAATGAATTGGAATGGTGGAGGGCAGGGTGTGTGTGTGAGGAGGCCACGGGGGGTGGGGGTGGACCAGAACTGAAGGCAGCCGTGCCACAGGTGATAGACGCTCAGCTCCAGAGGAGGGTGAAGTTGGCCAAGAGCTGGGGGGGCGGGGTGGGCAAAGGGACAACACTGACTGAGGGGTCTGAATAAGGAGCCGGGCGGGGGCCCTCAGACCTGGGGGGTGGGACGTCTTTGAAAAAGAAACAAGGTGGTGCACAAAATTCTGGATTTCCTCGCCCAGACTTTTGTATTTATTGCTTAACTGAAGTCTTTACAACTGCTGAGTGCCAGCCCTGTGAGCCCCGGGTGGCCAGGCCAGGCTTCGCCCGACCCCTCTGTACTCTGTGGCCAGGAGCAGATGTCAGACAGGGACTTGCTCTGTGCCCTGCGCTCCTGAGGAAGAAGGCTAAGGGGCCCCTTCCCGTGGCTCCGTCTGGGTTTCACAGTGACAAACGCCCATCCAAAGCTCAGCATTCTAGTCCACAGGCTGGGGCTAGCAAGCTTGAATAGACCGACCCTCCTGCTTCCCATTTGGGGAGCTCTTCGGGGCCGGGGAGGGTGGTGCAGAGGTATGAGAGGGGCAGGAAGCAGGACAGAGCTTCAGTAATACCTGTTTCAGAGGAGGCAGCTGTGGTGAGAGACAAAAGAACACTGGACAAGGGGCCAGAAGGCCCGGGCATGTGCGGCCCCATCCTCGCCATTCTCGCCACGGACCTCAGGCGAGCCCATAGCCACCCCGGGCTGAAGTGCCCTTGCCTGGACAATGAGTCGTTTCCATGAGACTGGCTCTGAGGTTCTGTTTTGTCCTGTGGCCTTTGTCCCAATGTCATTTCCATCCTCAACCTAAGAAGTGACCACTTAATACTCATACACTGATCAGAGGACTGGTGGTTTGGGGTGTGGCTTGAGACGCTGCACACTGCTGGGTGAGGGGGTCTCGTGGCTCTCCTGGGTAAGGGTCCTTCCGCTCCCTCCACTCCTTCTCTGAAGACAGGCCACTTCCCTGGGCTTGGGCTGGTCCAGATGGGGATAGCTGGGGTGGCATCCCAGATGGTTTCAGGGGAGGGGTGACCCAGGAGCTGGCCTCTGACCTACCTGCCTGGGTTTTCTCCTGACACAGCCTGTCTCTTGCCTCATTGGCTCAGCTTCCCGCTGGGTTTTAACCAGGGACTGGATCCCTGCTATTATCACCTGCTATGTGTAGCTCACCTGAGTGACTGGGTGGTTTCTCTCTAGTGGACCCAATTGGGTGCACCTATCACAACCAGGTCTGGATGTGGTTGGCAGGGGTGGGCAGGAGCAGGACTGTCAGGCAAGTGGGGCGTAGTGCTTTGTGCCAGCAGCCCAGGAAGAGCCTCCCTGGTACCAGCTGGGGCAGATGGAGAGCTTCACGCTCTCTGAGCTCTGGTGAAACTGCCTGACAAAGACTGACAGAAATGTGTTAAACCCCACTCCTCCCACCAAAGGGGCTGCAGGGTGCGCTGAGGCTTGGCCCCACCCGGCACATGGGTCCCAGAGGAGCCCTGCAGTGCCGGCCCCCTACCCCACCCCACTGTCTCAGGGGAATGTGTCCCTCCCCCTCTGGGCTGAGACCCTTTCTCTCTAGGTTCTGCCTATGGAAACCACCCAGGTGGGGCTCCAGGCAGGGCAGCCTCCTGCGGCCACACTGCACACACACACCTCTCATGATCCTTTGTAACCTGGTCAGGCCAGCCAGGCCTCAGATGGACTGCTGGCCCCCGGAGGCAGTCTGCTGTGCCTGTGCGCGGGGGACCTGGAGTTTCTTTCTTCTCTGGAAACCTCGGCGGGCTGGTTTCCAGCCCTTCCCAAAGCTAACTGTGCCCAGAGGAGCGGGGTGGTGGTGGTGTGTGTGTGTGTGTGTGTGCCTATGAAAGCCGTGCCTGCAGAACTGGCATCTGCAGGCTCTTGGGCTGGCACGGGAACTTTCCCCAGCCCACAGGACAAGGGGAAGGAGGTGGGCCAGCTGCCTTCAGCATTTCAGGGCAAAGGAAAGGGCAAGGGGAGGGAGCTGATCAGGTTTGCCCTTTAGCTTAAATCCAACAGTTGCCTCAAAAGCAAGGCTGAGATGGAGGGTCCCCTCCACTGTAGCCCAGGCAAGGTGGGAAGCAGTTCCCCTCTGCGGAAGGCACCTTCTCCAAACTAGGTGTCCCGACTCCCGGTGGCCCAGGGCCTTCTTCAGAGAGAACCCTGAGGAAAGGAGGGGAGAGGAGGGAAGAGGTACCGAAGCCCAGCTTTGTTGACCAGACTGGCTGAGCCCTTCCTCCAGGCCTCAGTTTGGCTCGGGGCCGTCACAGGTCCAGGCACCCAAAGGGCAGCATGGCCCCAACCCAAGACCTCATTCTTAGACAGTTGGCCCAGGGGTGTGGGGGTAGGGGCCACCTCCCACTTGCTCCCCGGGATGTCCCTGCTGCCTGGCTCAGGCGGGCTGCTCAAAGAGCATATGCTGAACGAGTAAATGAATGAATGAATGACATGGCAGCTGGAGGGCAGGAAGGCTTTGCTCCCAGGCTGGGCAGACCAGACAGGAGGGATTGCAGCACACTTCACCGACTTCCAGGTGGGACCTGCGCCTCATCCCTCCCCATCAGCCAGACGGAAGCACCCTCAGTCTCAGCTCTCCTGCATGGCCATGACTGCGTGAGGTCCAGCAGGCCGCTGGACAATACTGCTTTCCTGCTGGGCCAGTGAGGCCTCCTCTGAGAAGGGGCACCTCCTTCACCCTGCAAGTCCCAGAGCTTTGAGGTGAGCTCTCCAAGCACCTGCGTCTCTGCTCTGCCGGTCGGTGTGGGGAACACTTGATTCGGCAGCCCAGATGGGCTCCGCCAGGAGGCCCGTGGCTGTGGGGAGGTGGCAGCAGGGGCGGAGCATCGTGCTAGCCCACATCCGTGAAGCGGGGGCAACACTGGAACGGCTGTAGGCACCTCTGCCCAGGACTTGTAAGGTGGACAGCCCGTCCTGGGTCTTCACTTTATGTAGCAGGTTTGCCAGAGGCCAGGGCAGGGTCTGATGGCGATCCCAACCCTCTCCTGCTCTCAGAGCCTGTTGGGTACGGTGACCTCCTCACTAGCGCATCGGTGCAGTGTGAAACGAGGGCCTGAGAAACTGACCCCTCCGCTCAGCTCCTGTGTTGGTTGGCAAGGCGCGTCCTTTGAGTCGTGCACAGACACATCTCCCTGACATCCCTGGTGGGGGCAGCGGGCTGGGCTGTGGGAGGGCCCAGCTGTGTCCCAGCAGGTGTTGGAGGAAGCCCAGGTGAGGGGCCCCTGAGCTCCCTCTCCAGCTTCCTATTTACCCTGTCCCCGTTCTCCATGAGAGCCGCCCCTCGGGCCCCCAGGGCAGTGAGCCCCGGGAACTGCCCCGGTTTGTACCAAAGGGAATCACTCTTGGGCACAAACATGCTAAGCGGCTCGGCTCTGGGCCCAGTGGGGCATTAGGCCTCTTCGATGATTCCTCCCACGTGCTGCAAGCGTTGCGAATACCTTTGCGGCTTAAACAACAGCGTCTCCAGCGAGACCCGGCCTGCTCCTGCAGGGGTCCCTGGCAGGCGGCTAGAGGCCGCACCTCTGTGGGTTGTGCTTGGGGCAGACGGCGTCAACTTCACCCTCTAGAAACCAGCTTGAGATGCAGAAGCGGCCCCAGGACTGCTCGCAGGCTTTCTCTCTCTCTGGCAGACGCTAGGGACCTTTGGTTTCAGACGCGGAGCAGGTGGGCGGGTGAAGCCAGCACCCGGGGTCTGCAGAGCTGTCTCCACGGAGGGTAGCAGGGCGCCTGCAGGGTGTGTGTGGAGCGGCTGCTTCGGGGCCCAGCTGTGATGAGGGACAGACGGAGCTGCCCGCTGGCTTCAAGGCCTGCGGGGAGGGGCCGAGGGGCTCCTGGGACAGACCAGAGCTGCGTAAGGCATACGAAGGGCACGAATGAGCACGGTGTCACCCCAGGGCTTCCCGACAGGAACGTGCCTGAAACAAAGGACAGCAGTTCAGTCTCACATACCCGGGACACAGGCGTTAGCGCAGCACAGAGAACAATGGGCGGAGGTCCTGCTGGCGGCTCTTAGCCACGCCTCCCAGCGCAGCAAAGCACCTGCGCAGTGGGGCCCCATCGCCTCGGACACCTGGCCAGGTGGGGGCACGCCCTCTTCCAGCTGTAAGCTGGCAGTCCTCTCTCAGACGTCTCGGGCTTCACAATGGAGGAGGAGGGTGTTCACCAGAGGCGTTGCACGCTCGCCGACGACGACGTGAGCACAGCTCAGCTCCCGGGGACCCGAGGGACTTCTGTCCCCTGCGGTTCAGTCCTGGCCCACCAGTGCCTGCTCCCAGCCCCTCCGACTTCCTCCTCTCCAAAGCACAGTGCAGGTCTGCCGGAGGGGGCACGGTGAGAGCGGAGGCCAGAGGCGAGAGGTAAACCCACCTCCTCCAGGCGGAACCAGAGAGGGGCAAGGAGGCCCGACAGCCCTCCCCCGCCAAAAATACTGTCGTCCTTGGGGAGAAGCCCAGCCTAGCTCCGTCACCACGAGGGAGGCCGAGGAGGAGGGGCTGGCGCGAGGGGCGGAGGCAGGTGGCAAAAAGGCATCCTTCAGAAATACATCCACTGGCGGCTGGTTTGAATACTTGGGCTTCCCGATCCTGTTCTCCTGCCCACCCAATCTTTTGCGGTTTTGTTTTGGCCTATCTTTGCGTTTTCCTGGGGGACAATCCACCTCTTCTTCTTTTAAAACCTAGGGACACTTCTCCAAAAAGACAAAGGAAGGGGAGACCTTGGGTCTGCTGGGGAAGAGGTGCCAAGCAAAACTGATGACAACGGGAAGTACCGGAACCAACAGGACCTCGGCTCATGCGCCCAGGGCAAGGGTGGGCGGTGTTGGGGGCAGGCTCAGGGTGGCTTGGGGCTGAACATGTAGCCGGCTTGTTCCAGCGGAGCTCCGCTAGGGCTTTGCCTTGGCCACGCTGATGCCAGGCGGCCCAGGGGTGTGAGCAGGGGGGTCACTGGGAGGGGGCTGTGGCGGGCTGGGCGGTCACTGGTCCTCACAGCTTGGTAGACCCCGTACTGTGCCCTTGTCCCTGAAGGTGGCGGTGGGTTTGTGGTAGGTCTGCCGCGGTCCTCCCCTCCCACTGGCCAGGTCGGGGCTGTGCCAGGCAGGCTCTGCTAGGCCAGCGAGTAGATGGCGTTGACGGGAGACGTGGCCTCGGAGCTCTCGTTGCCCTCTGTCTCCTCCTTGTCCTTCTTGACTGTGTACTGGCCGATGAAGGAGCCGTCCTCATTGAACTGGCCCTCGCCGCCCTCGCCGTAGTCTACAAGGCTGTCGTCGCTCTCGGGCTGCTTGATGGTGCCGTCCAGCGACGTCTGACTGCCCTGCAGGGGCTTGTGGTCCTCGTCGCTGGCCGGGGAGAGACACAGAATCAGGGGCAGGTTCAGAGGGAGCTTAGGTGGGGTGAGGCGGGGACTGCTGCTGCCCAGCTCAGACAGGGGGTCCTGCCCTTCATTGGAACATCCAGCTGCCCCATGGGCATGACTGTTTGACACCATCACAGGGGGTCACTGAGCTGGCACTGACCTGGCAGTACCAGGCAACCACCACTGGGTGGCTCTGTGACTATGGGAAAGTCCTTTGCCCCCTGGAGGTTCTGAGTCCTCTTTGTGATGGGCTGAACAACTCCTTCCTTGTGGGGCCTGGGCCTGTAGGGAAAGGCTCCTCCCTGGATGCAAAGCATTGCCTGAGCCTCGGAGCAAACACTCCCTCCCCGGGGAGAGGGGGGGACAAAACTCTGGCTCCGTGTCATTTCTCTCAGACTCCTGGTTGATGTACAAACACAGGCTGTTTCACTGGCCTGGTGAGGAGAACAGGGAGATGGTGAGGAAGGGGCACACAAGTAAAGTGGGGACCCCCCCCCAGCAAATTGGTAAAGAAGACTGGCAAGACTTGGAGGGCCTCTCCAGCCCACCGGGAGGCTGGTGCCTATGGTGGCATCGTCCTGGGGAAGGGATGGCTTACAGGATGTCCTCAGTGCCACCTGGTCAGAGCAGCCACACATGACGGCCTCCCCTGCCCCAGCGTGTGCACTCGGTTCTCTGGGTTGGGCTTTCTCACTGCAAAGCCAGTGGTGAGGGGGTAGGACAGGGATGCTGAGGGAGCAGCATCCAGGGACCCTCCTGGAGTTCTTAGGTTGCACTGGGCCCCCAAACTCGGCCCAGCCTTGTTCTCTGACAAGTGCTTGGGGAAGAGGCAGCCCCTGGGGCACATTCAGTCTGGGGAGGGAGGGAGTGCACCTCACTCTTAGGAAAGCTGGCCAATCTATTTGCCGGCTTCTCCAACCCACTGCAACACGTCCTGACCTCCCCGGGCCTCTCCATATCCCGCGCCGTCCCCCCCCTCGCCCCCCAGCCCTGGGGCAGAAAAAGCCTGGGTTGGTGGGGCCTGGGAGAGAAAAGAGGAGAGTCTTTAGTGGTTAGATCCTTGAAAGGGAGAGTGGGGTATAGGTCAGAGTGGAGCACACCGCCTCTCCCTAATACTACGAGCTGTGAACTCTGCTTTTGCCCAGACCAAACAGAACAGAGCACAGTCTAGACCTTACTCATGTAACTGTTGGGCATCTGAGGAGACTTGGAAGAAACCAGGATGATGAAGCCTGACCCTGGTCCACTAGGACACACAAAGGACAGAAGCATCAGAGGGTGGCTAGCCACAGGGCAGGTCCAGGTGGACAACCCCACACTCCCGCTGCCCTCCTAGCCCTGTCCCTGCTTGCTACAGTGATGCCAGACTCCATGTGTCAGCGTGGAACTGTGCTCTGTGGGCTGTGAGCTGTGGGCTGGTTTTGGGACGTCAATCACTGGGTGGATCTTTGTCCCACGGCATCTCTTCGTGGACTCAAAGCCCCACCCTTTCAGTTAACACCGAGCCCTGTTTGTACCGCCTAGAGATTCTCGTCCTCACGCAGATGAAAATGCAAACCCTCCGTATGGAGGGGATTCTACATCACAGGCAGAATTGCCCTGGAGGCTTCTGAGACTGGGACTCTATGAGTTTAGAAAACCTCATCTTTCTCCTGAGGAGCAGCTGGTGGTTTCAAACTGCTGACCTTGGGGTTAGCAGCCCGTCTGGGAACCACTATGCCACCAGGGTTCCTCTCCCTAGGAACACGTTTTTCCCTCTGGTGTGTTGATTTCAGCTTTTCCCCAGTTCAGTACCTGGACTCACCTGAGTGGGGGCTTGAGGCTGAACCAAAGCAGACAGGTGGTGTGTGTGTGTGTGTGTGCATGTGTGTGTCCACATGGGCATATACACCTGCGTGTGTGGGCACATGCTGGCAGCCTGGTATTGGCACGTGCGTGCACCTGTGTATCTATATCTGGCCTCAACGTTTGGGGAAGAGGCTGGTGCTTTTGCTCAGCAGCCCTGGTGTCTGGGGCAGGTGAGGCACGTGAGGAAGCAGCTCCTCAGAGCACCAGCTTCCTGCTTTGTACTCGAGGTGGTCATTATACTTCCAGGGCACAGGACCCCACAGCAGGACTCTCAGAAGCTGGGTCTGGCCAGGGTGGACTGAGAACCTCTCATGCAGTCTCTTTTGTGAAGGGTGGCTGGGTGTCCATGGGGCTGCCAGGCAGGCTCCCATGTGGGGTGGCTCTGGCCGCCCATGGAGCTGATCCTGTTTGCCAGGCTGCTGCTGACCAGACTGGCAGAGGCTGGAAGGACGAGGAGAGGACCCAGGGCAGCAGGTGGGTGGAAAGGGAAGAGGGTTCAGAGGACAGTACTTCCTTCCACCCCACGGGGGCCTTGGTCTTGGGCTGAGACCACCATGAGCCTCCTTGCTGTGTTCCTGAATGTCAGACTACTTTCTACCTGAAAAGGCAGATCTCTGTACAGGGCAGATACCATGGCCCTCCCAGAGCAGAGGAGCACAGGCCTGGAACAGGAGGACCTGGAACAAGAGCTCCAGGCTGGACACTGGGCCTGGCTCAGCTCGGCGCTGGCGTCTTGGGGAGGTTCCTCCTGCCCTCAGTGCTCTCAGCTGTGGGTCAGCCCATGCACCCCTTGGTTCCCCATGACAGGCAGGGACCACAGAGGTGCTCCTTCCTGGGAAGGAAGTCAGGCCCCTCCTCCTCACCCTTCCCCCAGGCCAGAGGCTCTGGGACAGCAGGGCCCCTGGGCCGCATCTCCGGGCAGCTTGAATGCTGGGTTCAGTTCACAACCTGAGAGGTACCCAGAGTACAGAAGATGACCTCTGAGTGAACCCTCCAAGTGAACCCGTGAGCAGAGAACTCAGTACCTTTGATGTGTGCAGCTGAATAATGAAATGTGTTCTTCTAGTGCATGTGTGCGTGCATGTGTGCCGGTGTGCGTGCATGTGTGCCTGTGTGTGCGCGTGCATATGTGGACTTTGAGGATGATCGGGTGAGATGACACCTCGGTCAGGGCGCGAGTCTTTTGCCCAAGCAGAGCTGCTCTTCGAGCCCAGAGACTGGGACACAGAGGCTGTCCAGGGACAGTGTCCCTGACTCCGAGAGACCTTGCACAGGAGGAAGGGGACCACATACCTGTAGTCAAACGAGCCCTCGTCTTCTTTGGGGTCTTCGGGGCCAAGGGGCACATCCTTCTTTTCCCGCACTTGGTCCACACGAAGCAAAGACAGAAAGCATGATTGCGAGGCATGCTGTCAGGCCCAAGTAGAGCCAGAAGACCCAGCTGGGCGGTCTTGTTTCCTGAGCCCCATGAGCTGCCTCCTCACCCAACCTATCCTAACCTCTCCTCCACCCTCTGGCATCCCCCCCCCAGATGGGCTCCCCACTATCCTCATCTCCACACACCAACTCGACGTGCTCACTCCTGCCAACACTCCACAGCAGCCTGCACCTCCCCACCCACCCCCATCCTGCTCTGTGGAACATAACTGCCCTTGAGCCTGTGCCTTCTCCACCCGTCCAAGCGCACCCCTCTCCTCAAACCACCATTGGCGCAGGCCCTGTCCTGCCCATGGCTCCCTCTGTGTCAGCCGGCATGCCCTTGGGGGAGAGACTGCTGTCCCTTGTAACATCCCCTCACCGGATGCATCCCGCTCCTGTGGTAGCTACACCTCTGGGACATTCCCACGAATGACTCTCCCTTTGCCGCAGGCGAACTCCCCACTTTATGGGGAATTAGTAGCCAGATTCATGCTAGAGTAGGGACTCAGACCCTCGCCTGGGGCCACTCCTCATTCTAAGGGACCAGGGGTTTAGCTTTCTATAGCCGGAGAAAAGGTTAGCTCTGAAGAACTTTCTAGAAAAGAACACTGCTCCACACCCCCCAAGGGCATCAACATTGTTTTACAACAGTGGGTGGAGCCCAGTGACATTCCCCCACCCCCGGACCCCCAGGCCTTCTCTCCTTATGGAAGACCTGCCTTCCCCCTGACTTCAGCCCCAGCAGAGTGAAACAGTCAGAGTGTGCTGCCCCACAAAGAACTGACTCCCTGTCCTCTCCCTCCAAGTAGGACCCTCCTCTGGGTCCTGCAGGGAGGGGGCTTGGGCAGAGGGAAGGAGAGAAACTGCCATGTCCCCACCCTGCTGTTTCCTTTGTGACTGCTTGCAGGACCTGGGGGAGGGTCTGCTCACAGAGGTGGGGCAGGGTGAGCAGGCATCTGGCGGGCTCTGGGGTGCAGCAGCAACCCCACTGGGCAGGCCGGCAGGGGTTTCTTTCCAAGGATCATAGGTTAGCCTGCCTCCCTCCGGTCAGGGTTCTACCACCCAGCCCCACCCATCTCAGACAGATGGCCCTGCCAGAGGGCTTTGTCTTTGACCTTGATGTGTGTGGGCTGGGGAGGAGAAAGGCCCCTTTGTGATGGCCAGGAAGTACAAAGCCCTGTGAGGGCTACTGGGGGGTCCCTGTCAGTACCACCCCACCACTTAGTGGTGCGCATCTATGACTTGTGTCTGTGGTTGGTCCGTGGTCACACCCTGTCTCTCATGGGCATTGCCTGTTGCCCAGCCCCCACTGTGTGCCCCTGATGTGGTTAGAGAACACCCTCCCTCCCCCTTTATTCTTCCCTGGGACTCTAATGAGATTCCGGCTGGGCAAAGCCAATTTACTGAACAGATGGGGTGGTGACTCAGGGGAAGGGCGGTCATTCGTAAAGGGAGCCTAAGTACCACCTCAGGAGAGCTTAATGAATCTAGTGCTTCCTGGCAGGACCACAGGGCTCAGCCAAGCTTGGCCCTGGGCTACCCTCGCCCAGAGCACAGCCTCCAGGACAGCCCGCTGGGAGGGCCCTGGTGCCGCAGGGAAGTTGGCGTGTGGGCCCACAGCCCTCCCTCCTCTCTGGCCTTACCTGGGTACTTGCCCCCTCGGCTCCTCTTGATGAAGCACACAATGAGCAGCATCAGCACCAGGAGGGCGATGGCACACATGAGCCCGATGAACCAGCCCTGGGTGGCGATGTCCGCCTGGTTGTTGGTGTAAGCTGCGGTGGGGTGGGGGTGGGGGTGGGGGGCAGAGCCAACACATGAGCCAGCAAGGAGCTTGTGCACCCTGGGGAGCCTCGAGGGGCAGGCTCCACTGCTTCACATGGGGGCTTCTCCTGGAGCTAAGCTATCACCTAGCAGCCCTCTGGCCCAGACTCCCCTGAGGGAAGGACACAGAACACACAGAGAGCCAAGGGTGGAAGAGACAGGCAAAGGCCAAGGGAAGGTGGCAGGAAGCAGAATAAGAAGCAGAAGGGGGTGGGTCCCCTAGGAGGCAGCGTGTGGGTCTGGCCAGCCAGGTCTCAGCCTGGTGGGGATGAAGCGCAGGCTATAGGGAGGCTAGGGCCTCACTCACTCTCAGGGGTGTGGGAGTTCCCATGGGCCCAGCGGGGAGAGCTGGGCACCCACATGCTCCCCATTGGGGAATGCAGGCTGTGGTTACAGTGTCTGCAGTGAGAGGGCCTTTAGGAGCCTGCACGCACACCCATCAACCCTGCTCCTCCTCATCCTCCTCTCCAAAGCCCCTTCCACTTCAATCCCATCTCGGTGGCATTGGGGAAAACCCCAAACACTCGTGAGCCTTCAGGCGGGCTGGCCCTCCTCCTCGCCACCCTCCCCAACAGGGCAAGTCACCTCTCAGAAAGGCCACTCCTTCATGGCTCTAAGTTACCCCTTCACAAGCGCTTCCTATATCACTGCAGGGGATGGTTTACACTCACGGGCACGTTGGTGGGCAAGGCCTCGGGCTCAGTACTTGCCGCCCATACAACCAGCTCCCCAGGGTGACTGTCCCTAGTTTACACACCAGGAGATGGAGGGGCAGAGAACCTGAGCAAAGATGTGCTCAAGGTCACAGCCTCTCGGTGGGAGAGGTGGCATGGGACCTCCACTGAGAAGGTGTCCTGCCTGAGAGGGAGAGTGCTGGGCTTGCTGTCTGTCCAAGGGAGGGGCCGGGTTTGCCCGCATCTCCCCTGGCTTGGAGGAGGCTCAGCTCAGGTTTGCTCTGGGGTGGAACCTTCCACGTCCTCCCCTCCCTCCAGTGCCCTCACAGCTCTGGGCCCAGCATGCCCGCCCTCCCGCCTGCACCTCTAGTCCCAGCATGTAGCTCCAGTGGGGTCTCCTTGGCAGGCACTGCACGTTTCAGCACTGACCACTGAGCCCCAGAGCAGGCAGATGGAGGCCCAGCCGGGCCCGTTCTAGTCACAGTGCCACACTTTGGCAGGACCTTTGCTGCCGCCTGGTAAGTATCTTACCACTGTATCTCCCACGGCACCTCATGCACAGCCACCACCCGGCTGGTTGGCTGTCACCTGGGACTTGCCTGCTGCTAAGATGACAAACGAGGTTCGGGGGGGCCTCCAGATGGAAGTGGACTAGGAAGAAGGGCCCGGCGAAAAGGAGCCAATGAAGGGCCCATGGGCCACAGTGGTCAGATTCACAACAGGTCAGGAGGGTGGCGTGGAACTGGCAGGTGTCACCATCAATGGGGGCTGGTATGACAGGCACCAACAACCGCAGTAACAGCCCTGCTCCTCCAGCCAGCTCCCCGCTGGTCTTCCAGAACTGTTCCTCCCTAGGCCCTGCACCCAGATAATGTGCTCCCCACATCAGCAGTGGCTTCATCTGCTTCCCAGACACTTGGCAAGTCCCTGTGCCTCATAGCCTCATCACCACGCTCTGGTCCCTAGCTCTGCGTCAGAGCTAGGGCTACTCAGCCCCCTGAAGCTGCTCCTGCTTTATATGCAGGACCCTCCCCTGCCCCATATCCTCCAGTCTACACTCCTGAAAACAACAGAAAACCAGCTCACTGACAGTCGATGCCGACTCATAGTGACCGTAGAGGACGGGGTGGACCTGCCCCTGTGAGCTTCTGAGAAGGTCACTGTACCGGAGGAGAAAGCCTCCTCTTGCCTAGGGAGCAGCTGGTGTCCCCTGGTTAGCCCAAGGTGTAACTCCTAGAAGGGTCTCTGAACGCGATTCCTTTCTGTCCCTTCCTCTGACCTTCTCTTCCCCGGTAAAACGTGTTGCGTTTTTCTGGCTCTTAAAAATGAAAGGCCTTGAGGGACTGGCTGGCCTTTCCAGCTGTGGCTCACCCCGTCCCTTTACAGGAACCCCTTCGTCTTCCACGCTCTGTATTCCTGCTGACCTCACCTTATCCCCAAGCTCCCTTCCAGCCGTCCTCAGCTCCCTGCTCCAACTAGCACGGCCGAGATGGCCCCCAACCCGCCCCTCCTCAGGCTCCTCCAGCATCCGCTCTGGCCCTGGCTTCCCGGCGGACAGGTTTGTCCTCTTCCCTCGCTGTCCCTTGGCCAGTCCCACTTCCGCCTGCCCCACGATGGCTCTCCTTGCGTGGTCTCTCCGCTCCACACACAGCATTCCTTCTCTCACTGACTGGCCTTCCCGCCCCTTCCCCGGTTCCCCCACCTAACTGCCCCCCGGGGTCAGGGGCCTCGATACTGGTCCCTCCTCCCAGGGCTGCTGCTTCTCTTCCAAATCCCTCACCTCACAGCCACCAGGGAGACAGGGAGACAATGAAACGTTATGCTCTGTCCCTATAATAAAAGCGCCCACGTGGTGTGGCGGGTTACGTGTTGCTCAGTGCACAGGAGGCAGGCAGTCTGCTCCTGTAAAGGCTTACAGCCTTGACAACCTCATCTAGGGGCACTGAATCAGAATCCACCAGACGGACGGTCACTGTGAATCAGAATTTATTGGATGGACAGTCACCGAATCAGACTATAGTGGACAGTCACTGTGAATCAGAATCTACTGGACGGTCACCGTGAATCAGAATCTACTGGATGGACGGTCAC